CTACATTGGTATGCTTGCAAGCAGGTTTCCTGGCATCCTTCCTGGCTCTCTGAGCAGGGTGTGGTTAATGGCTAACAAGAATCCAGTCAAGYATCTCCCTTCAGTGACAGCGACTGCAATGTCGATTTGTCATATCCAAACCTTAGGTTCTATTTCTAGCACTGCACAGAAAGATTTAGTGAGATTTCTTGGATATTTCATCTGCAAAATGGGCAATTGATAATAGCTCTCATCAGGGGACAGATGACTAGAGCTGGTTATGAGCTACACAGAAATATTAAGGGCTCACAATGTATAAACTAGGATTTGGACTTGTGGATGCCCATTTACCACTAAATGTTTTTCTTTACACAGCTGGCCACCTTCTAAAATATTTTTTCTTCTGTCACTTATATAAATATTTGTATATKATATTTACCTTGAAAAAAGGAGCTGCCAGGGTAACCTTGTCAAATATATGATTATTATGATGCTGTGTGCCATTTTGCCGAGGTGGGTATGTCTCCTGCTTCTCCCCATCCCCCTACCCATCCAATGAAATGCTTTGTGTGCTCTTCTGAATGTTTAGGGACACCTTTTTCATCCCTCCTGCTCTTGTAGCATCGCTGATATCCCAGCACAGTGAATTSCAGTCTGTAAAGGATGTAAAACTGTCATTTCAGAATTTAATTATGCTGCTTTCCAAAATTACTGAACACTTACTTGTTTGTTCTCATACACAGAAAAGATAATTAGGAGCTCTTGAATCATTAGTCTGGGAACCCACAATATCTGGAAGGAGCTGAAACGATTTCTTTGCTTTAAATTTGTAACACTGAATTGYAATTTTCATTTTACCTCTAGCTTCTGTTAGTATGTTTGAGGTTTCCCAAGACCAGAACAATCATTTAATTTAAAAATAGACTGGGCTTTCAGGAGTGCTGCTGACACACTGGATGCAGCTGGCCCCTGCCAGGGAAGCTCTCTGGCTCCTCTCATTGTTTCAGGTGGTGTGCTGGCCTCTCTGAAGCCATGATCCTCGCAGCCAGCATCACTGTTGCTGCTGTTCATCTCCAGAACCTCCACACAGACAAGCTCAGAGGAGGGGCTTCCCAGCACTGGAGCCTGAAACAGGCACCTTGACATGAGCCAGCTGGTGCTGAAGCATTGAGGAGCTGGGATTTCTCCTTTCTTCCCTTTTGATGGCTTGCCAGTGAGGCAGTCTCTGCCACCACCACTTATTCTGCTGTTCTTTGATTCTCCAAATCWGGAAGCACCTCTAAGACTTGGCCAAACTGGCTGGAAAATGAACAGAAGGAGAGCCAAAGGCTTCTTTGGGGGCGCTGCCAAGGAAGGATGCTGACATCGGTGAGGCAAAGGCTGYGGTTTGGATGTGTTGCTCGGAGGTGAGTGCACTAACAAACCCCGGGCTTCCTCCTAGCAAACACACGCTTGGGAATACCCTCAGAAAGGAACCAGTCCRGAGCTGAGCATCTTGGAAGAGACTGGTATTCCAACTCTACCCTCACCTTTGAGAAGGGTGAGTGGGAACCACTCTTTGCAGTTGCATTAGGCTGATGAGCCATTCWAATGGACACTGAATACTGCCCTTCCTCTTCCCCCCCACTTCCATCCCCAAGACAAAAAGAAATTAGTAGAGGCTGAAGTGCACAGCTTTTTCCCTTCTAGACCTTGGGAATATGCAAAGAAACACGCAGGGTCATTTGGCTCTGAAGGCTGAGGGATGCGAGTGCTTTGCTGCAGAGCCTGCGGGGAGCATGAGTCACATGGATGGCCTCGGCAGATCCGGGCTGACAGCATCCACCAAATCACCGCCTCACGTTGCACTCAAAGGGCAGAAATAAACTGGGAAGCAGGAGGGGCTTGGGGAGGTAGCACTGTGGGATGGAGTTATTTCAGTCTGTGTGTTTCTAGATCAGCAGAACTGGACAGGGCGATGTATCCTCAATTGTGTCCAACCTCCTTCCTCCACTGGAGCAAGGAGGTCTGTGGAYCCTTGCAGAGGACCAGGCACTGGAGGTGGGTCCAAAGGACTATAATCATGTGCTTTTTCCCTTCTGCAGCCCAGTAACTACAGTAGAAGTACTGGAAAGACTGACATAACAAGGAAAATCGCCACTTCTCATATTTTCCTGAACTCATGCTTTCTGGTATTTCCACATYATTACCCAGAGCTCTTGCTGACATTGCTATTTTGTAAACATTGCTATGTATGCCATCATCTCAGGGCTACTCTGATGAGCTGTCACCACATGATAAAATAAGTCTGTTATTGTGTTTTCTGCTGTGCAGGGTTGTGTATTGCTGTGGTTTGGGCCATGCAGAGGCATTACTCCATGCATAGTGTAGATACACCTTCGTCACACCTAGCAAAGAAAGAAGTCCTCAGTGCCTCCTGAGAATGAGGACCAGGATACATGGAAGACAGCTTGTAAAGTCCTGGCTTGGGCAAGGTGCCGAGCACTGGAATGAAACCACACCATCGCAGCTGAGGACTCATCTACCTCAACACGTTTTGTGGAGCTTGTTCTTATCTGGTTTGGATCTCTACCTCTGTGCTGCYTTGAAGCCCACATTGAAGCTTTCAGTATTGCATTTAGATGGAAAGCAAAGCCCAACTAGGACTGACTCTGTGGATGACTTTCTTTCAATCAGGGCAATCTGTGCATCTAGGGAAGAAAGGAGGACATCATATTGAAAGATACAGACAGGAAAGCTGTCAAAAAAGCAATTTATAAGATTGGASCCTGCAGTGGTTTGTGCTTGCAGGTGAGTTTCAAGTAGAGTAGGTCAGGGTCACAAATGTTGAGATCAGAAGACCCACTGAGGAATAGTGCAGTGTTGAGGAAGGCCTCTCATTTTTGTGACACTCCTCCAGATGGGAGAACTGGAAGCTGTGCATCTGTGGCTGTGGCTGTGCACTTACAGGCATCCCAGTGGCACCATCACATCTGCTGTCTTGCTAACCAGGCCACCTGGGAACAGATGGAGGGACCTTCTGTATCGATGGTGGGGGTGAGAGCCTGAGTGCTCTTTGCAGGTGGGTCCCAGCTGCGAATGGGGATACAACCTTTGGTCACTTGTGAGGAATCACTGTGCCTCTTCCAGCCCATGGAAGACAGGAGGGCTGTCTCCTAGCTTTGACAGCTGTCAGGCAGCTCAGGCATCTCCTGTCTCTGAGCCACCCATGCTGGCATTGTCTGCTACTCATGCATTTTATCCTGGTCCYTGTGCTAACATGAAATTAACTCTACCAGCTGAAACCAGGACACCAGGTAGGCCCTATTAGCTTAGTCTTTTATTGTCAAGCTGATTCTCTTGATGAAAAAGTCAGYGTTGGTGCTTTTTGTTACAGAGGTGGTTGGTTCAGCTGACAGAACCTCAGGTGAGCATCTAAATTGCTGGAGATGGAGGCAGCTCCCAACAGATGCRCACCCAGCCGGACTTTTTGTCCCACTCAGGTATCGGGTGACACAGGATAATCCCCCTGTTCCACAGATACCTCTGTGAGTGAAAAAAGGAGCTGACTTGGGTACTCAAGCAGTTATTTAAGGTAAAGGGTCTGGACTGCAGAAATGGGTTATTTTTTGTCAGGGTCCTGTGCCAAGCAGTTTGTCCTGACCATTACACAGAGCACCACTGATTCCCAGCTCATTTTCGCACATGCAGCTCCTAAAAGGGACCTGTCYTTAAGCCATGATGATGCCTTGTTTGGCAGCTCGATGGGCTGCAACTGGCTCCCCAGGTATGCTGGCAGTTCAGGRACAGGACAGGAGCAGGAGGAGCAACTGCACACACCAGGGTATGGACCAAGGCTTTTCCAAAATCAATATAGTCTTGTGCACACAAGCACAAGCTACAGGAAGGATARTGGCATTAGTGTGGGTCTTCATCACTCCTGTTGGTGTGAGGATGACAKTGGAGGAGCAGGCATGACGCCAGTGGTGGCTCACACCTGCGGCCACAGCTGTCTGGGACTGTGTCCCCGCTCCCGGGGTTGTGGGGGGAAGATGTCCCCGGCTYGCAGGTGTTCTCTGTGTCGTTGTTGCCACCTGCCTGTTGTCTGTCAGTTACACGTGATGCCGGTGTGACTGCCATACAGAAAACCCCTCCTCCAGCGCCGGGCATCCCACGGGGGTCTTCACCACAGGGAGCCCTTCCCACAGCCCAGCGCCTTGTCTGTGCCTGTCCCCAGCAAGGCCAGCGCAGACAAACAAACGGGGACTGCAGCCAGTGACAGCTGTAGGACCTCAAGGCCTTTTTGACGTGCCACTAGCAGACAGTAGAGTAACTTCTATAAACACAAGACTTCTGTGTACATATTTTAACAGCATTTTTCTTTCAGGACGTTCTGTCATCTCTACAAAATGCTTTCAATTCCACCCAAAATTTCTTGGGCTTTTCACTCCCTCTTCTCATCTCCTTGAGCCAAAAAAAAAATTGGTCATTTTGGTGAGAAACATTTACAGTGGYTTTCTCAGAAGCATCTGCTCTCTGCACCCTGTGGGATTACACAGTCCAAGRCTGGTTTATTCTCCTAGGAAATTACTTTCTCACCCCCTTCCCAAACTTACCTTCAAGATCAAAACTGAGAGCTTCTTTGGGCTCTGACTTCCAGAGGCTATTGGTATCCTGAACTGCACTCCCGATAAAATGAGTTCTGAATTATCCCACTGACTGTGCTGTTTTTGCTTGTTTTTTGGCTTGTTGTCAGAGAGGGGAAAGCTACAGACTAAGGGATAGATATGGGGGATCAGATATGTAGGTCTAGGGGTAGATACGTAGGRCTCAGACTGGCCAGGAAAGGCAAATGAGCGTGGACAGTTTTCATGGAGAGCAAAGAGCTGGTGCATTACGGATGGCTCATGGCAGCCAGGTAAGTGGGAGATAGGGAGAATCAGCATTTCACATCCTAGCAGGAAAGGGAGAAATGTGAATTTGAACCAGACAAGAGTGTCTCAGAAAAAATGCAGTCCAGCTTGCAAAAAATAACTCCCAACCCCAAAGTAATTTATTGTCGTTCAGGCAGATAAAAGAAGCACATAAAATTGGTTCCACAAGAAGGTCAAATTAAGTGCATGAACAAAATACAAGCTTATTATATATATGTGTGTATGTATATATATATCTATATCTTCTGTTCAGTGTCTCATTACAAAACTGGGGATCAATCATAACCCTTCAGGGTTCCTCGTCTGGTCCATTGGCTCCTAGCCAGATAACCTCCCTCCACGRCATTAGACTGGGGGAATGATGAAGSAATAAAGAATTTCATTARAACAGGAGAAAGGGAGATGGATTCGCAGAGCACTATGGGCTGCCAGGTGTTTAGGTACAGGCCAGAGACTTCATCAGTCCTTGTGRTGCCAGAGCTGCTCTCTCACTTTTTCAGCCGGCTGCAAGAGAAAAGTACTACATGAGTACCACCCTCCAATTTTTTTTTTTTTTTTTTGCATAGAGAATGGCTGCCTGCCTCTGTAGCTGAGGATGCAAACAGTTACTTGAGCATCCACATGGCTGCAGTTTAGGTTTCAGTTACACTGAGCTGCTTACTTGGCAAAGAGAGCTAAAGAACAACTGTATCAGCACTTGTACTGCACAGATTTATCTAGATTTTGATGTATCTGTACARGCTTTGTCCTCTCTTTATGGGGATTATTTTTTAACCTTGATAAAAGGTAGGTGAATATGAGGTGAATTCTTTGACACATGCTATGCTTTTCACCACATATACAACCCAGCTGTGATGCAGTACTTGCCAATAAACATTCTCACTGAATTTTTGGTGACAGTGAAAAAAATTAGATGAAACTATCACAGTTTGCCAATGTCACCGGTGAAAATGAAGCAGAAGTCTGGTTCTGTAYCCATACATTCATTGAACTTGTTAATGCAATCATTTACACTTTGCTTAGTGCTCCACTTCCAGTGACAGAACGGCTGTCACTGTTTCCAACAGCTGYTTTTGATGCCTGATACCATATAAGCTTAAAGATGTGGAAAAGGGCAGCTTCTCTGCTGAGAAATCCTTGCTCCCATGAAAAGGGTCATGACACTATGATGTGTTTCACATCACCCAAGGCCTTTAGGAAAGKGTACAAATCACAGTGTTCCATGATTTTTTTCTTCTCTTTTGTTACTCTTGGGAGGTTATTGGCATTTTTCACTAACTGCAGTCCAGCACTGCACTAGCAGAGCTGGAATTACATTACACACRTAATGGATTTTTAAAATTTGGGTTTCATCCTTGTGCTTGGTTGCCTTCCACCTCCTCAACCTTGATATCCAGATCTCAGATTCACTGTGGAGCCTACCGAAGGACTTTGGAGCTCCTGCTTGGGTTGGACTAACWTCTCTCAACGTTAAGATAATTCAAGTGAAACCATTCTGCTCAAAATTTTCCCCGCACAGTGCTACCATGGGTTTGGGATTTAACATAACTCTTAAGCAGSATTTAGCATGAGTAAGAGCTGAAAATGCTGAAATGCAGCTGTACTGTTTCACCAAAGAGGCTCAAGTTCAATTTCTCCCTGCTCAACCATCCAGCTCGTCTCTCTTGAAAACAGTCTTTGCCCAYTCTGGGTGTCCCCATTGCCACTTACTGTTGACACTGACATGTCTTGTTTTCCAGCAAGTATTGTCTTCCTTGTGCCATCCTTCTCGCCCGTTGCTGCCAGGAGAGAAGGGACAAAGAACAATTKGATATTTTTATGCTTCAAATGCTTTCCTCTGAAGTGGTAGTAAAGYGCTGTCTGACATTTGCAGACTGCCMATCTCTAAAAACATGCTTTGAGTCTAAGGATTGRCCCTTTATCTGTTCTGCCCTGCACTCAGACAGGAAATCTGACTTCTCCTGTGGTTGGGAGAGCCAGTAATCTCTGCACCTTTCACAGGGACCCTGGCACTCACCCTTCTCCGCTTCCACTTTATACTACTGATGATGCACAGGCATGCAAGGACAAACACCAATATACCACCTCCAACACTTGTTCCAATTATCACRTAGTTAATCCAAACAGGAGCTTCCTCTGTGGGAGGAGAAAAGTATTTAGRTGTAGAAAAAAAGAGAATTTCAAGGCTTTAGGGTTGACAGGAACGTGATGCTAATTTCCATACCTACGTGGTAATGAAAGCTGATCTTTCTGTCATTGTCTTCTATGAGGTGACAGCTCCACAGCCCTGCAGCACTGATGTTCACCTCCAACTTTACTTCATGCTGCTTTGAGTTCTTTATGTCCATCTTAGTCCCATTCACACGTTCCCAGCGTAAGTAGGCATTGGGTGGGAGCTGACCAGAGACCTGGCAGGTCAGGGTCATATTGGCCCCTCTGGAGAGTGGCCCAGCAGGGTCAGATGAGACTGTAAAGGCAAGAARAGGACATGTGAGTCAGTGGATGGGAAGATGGGCTCACCCATGCAATTGTGGCTTCCAGGTTTCTGCAGCTCCTCTTCTTCAKGACCCACTTCTGTTTCTCTCACCTTTCATCACCACCAGCTCTATCTTGCTCTGTGTGTGTCTTCCTTGGTATGCTAGCTGGCACTGGTACTGCCCAGAGTGGTTGAAATGGACTTYGGGGAGCTTCACTTGTATGGTACTTTCAGGTTTTCTTTCAGGTATCTCAAATAAAAAGTTGCTGCTCTTTTTGGTCTCATGCAGCTCTCCTTGTGCTGTGACTTTGAAATCAAACAGTTCAAGAGTGTTTGCACTTTCCTGTTGTTTCCAAAWCAGCTGTCCTGTGAAATCTTCTTTCCATTTTATCTTCTGGAAGTTCAKATGCCATGACAAGATGACAGTGCTATCAACAGTTGCATACTTTCTTTCTGAACCTGGATTCTGAAAACCTGAATTTAGAAGAAACAAGAAATACAGAGGCAGGAAAAGCCATGGTTACACTTCCCCATGTCTGCCCTTGATCCAGAGTGAGGCACTCTGTGCTCAATTGAAAAAGAACTTGGAGAAAAGCCACGGCATCCTCCAGGAAGGTTAAACAGTTACTGCTGGAGAATAAGACAGTGGAAAGATCCAAAGCTCCCAAGCACAGCATAACTGACAAGAACAGACCCCAAGGAGAGGAAAATCTCCTCACCAAGCCTGGAGAGAAAAAGGGGTGCAAGAGTGGAACAGAGCTCAGGCAGCAGAACAATCCTCAGGCTGCATTGTTGGAAGCCCTGGGAAGCACCAGGGCTTGAGATGCCAGAGGTTAAAAGTTAAGCTCATGAGCTGAGGGAACGCTGGTTCCCAAGCCTGGGTGTGAGTTCCATTTTTGTTGKCACATACCTAATACCTTCAAAGCAAAGAAGATTTTCTGATTAATCGGTGGAGAGTCTGAATGGACCTGACACACCCAGGTCCCGTTGTCCGTAGCCTCCAGGTTCTTTAAATTCATGATGTATTTTTGACGCATCTCATTTTTTAATTYTGGTGTTACTCTGTTATTGTTGCTGTTAAACAATGTGATGCTGAGGTCAGGTAGAGGACTGGGGGAATTTTGCATTAAAATCAGCTCAGGGACTTCATTTTGCAGAAAGTGCCCATCTGAAGAGATCGTCACTGTAAAGAGAAAAAAGCACMGCCAGTAAGTCAGTTCCTCTTCCTGCAAAGGAGGTACAAGGGTTACAGCAAAGAGCACATGGGGACATTGTGACCTGGAGGTGATAACCCAGGACAGAAGAAGTGGCAGCTGGCTAAAGAATACCAGAAAAGATGTCTCCTCAAGCTTTATGGCCCCCTCYCCTCCTGATAGCTAAAATACCTCCAATCACTCACATTTAAAGACATGCAGTGAGGTCTGGACTTTGCGAGAGCCATATTGACAGGTGTAGATGCCAGCATCAGAGAGATTCAACTTCCGCACCCTCAGCTGTTTATATTCCCCCTTGATTTCAGCTTCACCACTAATGGCAATTGGTCCTTTTGAAAAAATAATTTTGGTCAGGAGGGAAGAGATTTCTCAGCTGTATATAGGGACAAGGGATAATGATTTGGAAGCCTTACTTTTCCAATATTCACGAGTATTTTCCTTACGCCATAGAAGAGTATCATAGTACATCCAGCTCACAACTGTATCCGGAGGTAACCTTGAGTCAAGAGATATGACTGGGCAGTTCAGGGTCACCTCCCCTCCTGCGAGCCCAGTCTGGAGTAAATTTTGCTGAGCCGTACTGGAGATCAGACCTGGAAGTCAATACCCACCAAAAAAGGCATAAGTTCTGAAGGGTGGCTCAGTGAACACTTCCCAGCTCTCCAAAAAGATGTTGGTATTTCTCCTCCCTTTCCCATACACTGAAGTTATCCTCAGTTTCTGAAATTGTCACTCCTTTATCTCATCTCATCAATCAATCAATCAATCAATCAATCAATCAATCAATCAATCTCTTTTGTTACCTGGCTAATGGTTATTTTCTTCCACATAAATTCAGAAAAAAGGAAAAATGCCAGTAGTTATGGTGACTGACCATCATTCATGTATTGAAATGTCCACAGTTTTACTGAAATAACTTTTTTCCACTGGACAATCAGTTATTCTACCGGCTACAAAAGAAGGATAGCAYATGTCAGCCCTCTTTCACTCTCAAGTCAACACTTGATGCAGTACTGACAAATTTGCTCACCTCTTCTTCCAGTTTTTGCATGGACAAAGACTGAAAACACAGAAAAATGAAGAGATAAAGTAAAAAAGAAAGAAAGAAGGCTGACCTAATGTCAGGTTCCTGGAATGAGGGCTATGTGACAGTCAAAGAAATAGAATGTATAAGGTTGAAGAAACATTTGGAGAGGTTTCTTGGGATAATTACTTCCTTTTCTTCACTGTAAAGAAGATTTCTGCAGGACACCATAAGAAGAAAATGGAATTGCCAGAGGTAAGATTGGGAGTAACGGGGTTGTGGTCTCCTGCCTCCCAGCTGGTGAGTTCTCAGCGGGGCCTAACCTGCAGACACCCCAGGTGACTCGAGCACTAGAGAGCTCTAGAAATGTAAAATAAAAAGCTTACATGAGTTTAATGATGGGTTTGCCTGAAGTTGCAGTCCTCCAAGAAGTAACATGCAACACTGCCAATACAGTTTTGATAACTGTACATTGGACTACAGAAGTTTATGATTTTGTTTTAAGCTGTGAAATTAGAAATGTTGTTAATAAGAGTTGGTGTCATTTGCTTTTTATTTGGTTCTTGGGTGCATGAAAGATTTCCAATCTTTCCTCTGTGACCAGAGGAATCAAAGCTGAGTGTCTGAGAAATGCAGGCTTGGCCTTATTCATGCTTGTCTTTCCTTTCTTGGCAAATGTGCACTAAAAGGTCCACCAAACCTTATAACATTATCAGTCAAACTAAGCAAGCCAGTAGCATTCCACTTGTAAGAATAAATCTGTGATGAGATTCTGAAAATCACATCAGAGATGTAATTATACATCACAGATATATTTTTGCCCAGACAGCTGGAGGCAGTGTGGAGGGCAGTATTTTCCACTCTGCTTGGTGTGTATCCTGGTTCTCACAAGGCCCCCACTCCTGCATCTCCACAGCCCAGGACTCACCTGGATGAAGGAGCAAGAAAGTGGCAAACGTGCAGGTCACGGCTGTGCTGCACGACTCCATCGCTGTGGGAACGTTCCTCCCGTCCGCAGAGAGCAGGGCTGGAAATTCTGTCACTGCCAAGGGAGCTTATCCTGGAAGACCCAAATGCTCTGTTAGTCATGTTTCATTTTCACACCTCGATGGATGGGGCTTGTGTTCCCAGTCAGCTCCCACCATCCTTCAGCACAGCAAAATGGAAGCACATTGGGAAACTCACCAGAGCCCTTTGTTTCAGCAAAGAATCCATCTGCAGCATGCCCCTGGAGTTTGGTAATAAACATTGCATTTTACTCATCCCTAGGTTTCTGGCATTCATCAGGCGGCAGCTGTTTGTACTGCCAAGAGTTCTGTGCTTTTTTACTTCTCTATGGTGGGTTATCATCACTCTTGCAGAGATTAAAGCTAAACACATACAGGGCTGCATTAGCAAGAGCACAGCCAGCTCTGCTGGAAGCAGAGTGAAGTAATTATTTCTCTCTATTTGGCACACSTGAGGTCTCATCTAGGATACAGGGTGCAGTTTTGGGCCCCCAGTACAAGAAGGATGCCAACAAACTCTATAGAGTTCAGTGGAGGGTTAGTGGGATCGTGAGGAAGCTGGAATAGATGACACAGGGAGAGACAGAAAGCTGGGCTTGGTAGGGAGAAGGGAACCAAGGTGGGATCTAATTTCAGTCTTCCATTACCTAAAGGATATTACCTAGAARAACAAGCCACATTGTTCTCAGATGTGCACAGGAGAGGAACAGGAGGCAGCAGCCATATGCTGCGCAGGGAAATGTTGACTAGACATAAGGAAAACTTTCTTCCCACTGAAGGTGGTTCAGGAATGGAATATATGCCAAGAGATGCCAGGCAATCTTCACTGTTGGAGATGCTCAGAAGTTGCCCTGTCAAACACTGAGCAACATGTTGTAGTTTTAGTCAACTCACCTCTGACTAGGAGATTGGATTGGAGACCTCYCAATGTTCCCTGCCATCTATATATTTCCATTTATTTTTGTGAATCTGTGATTACAGTCATCTTTAGACTCTTATTAATATTTTTCTTCAGCTTTGGGTTTGGTTTTTTTACTTCTTACCTTGAAAATCTCARTAACCAGGAAGTCTGATGTCAGAAAGACTTGCTTGAATTCTTAGGACTAGTCAATGAAAAGTATGGGGAAAAGGGAGGAATGAGGTCCAAAAGAAGTTCCATTAATGGTGGCAAAACCTTAAGTGGGATCTAGAATCTAATGATCATGTTAAGGTGTGTTATCAAATTAGATGCAGTTTCTGATTGTAGCAGAGACCAAGTGCTGGTAACAGTGGCAGCTGCATGGGCTGACAAGGTGAGGGAGACCATGACTATGATGCAAGGACATTACCGAGCTCTCCAGCCCTAAACCAAGGCATTTATAACGAAAGGGAAGCCAAGCAGGTTAAATGCTCTGGGGAGTGAGCAAGCCAGTGAGGTGACCTCACTTCTCGGAAAGCAGGCAATCCCCATGTCTGGAGTTTGACAGACTGAAGGCTGCAGTAATAATGRGATTAAACTCAAAAGAAAGGCATGAATAATTCTATATAATATTTATATGCATGATGTGCAATATTAAGTGTAATATATTTTATTAGAGGATAATTTAATACTGAAATTAATTTAAAGAATCAGAGCACATAAAGCTATCAAAGAGTAGATGAAAACATCAGCACTACATTTAAATGGAGATCAGCATGACATCTGACATCCAGATGGATGTRCACACACGCACACATGAAAAATAAGTGTGCAAGAGCAAGACAGCAGCCATATGCAGCATCAGAAGAGAAACAGGTGGCAAAGGCACAGTCAGAGCAGATTTGTGACTTGCCTCGTGCAAAGCAAAAAACCCATCCCAGGCCAGGGAATATTTGCATGAGCTGTTTTCTGTGAAAATTGTAAAACAAAGGAGCCAGTGCATATGATTGGAGATCACTCCTAACAAGATGCGGAGGCAGTGATGAAGCAGTTTGCTGGGTTAAGCTACAGAATAAAGAAAGGGGCACTAGCAAGGCATCTGTATGCATCTCACTCTGAAGGAACATCGATAACTGAGAACTGGCACAGGGCCCTGAGTAAGATCCATTCCTGAGGTGACAGGAGAAACCTCATCCCTGCTGTGAAATCTCACATCACCTGTTCCTGGGATGAAAAAGTCAGCCCCCGCTCTAAAATAATATCTGTGAATTAACAGTTCAGTGATGGGTTTCAAATATTTTAAGTCATTAAACTTTATATAAAACCTGAAGATAAAGGAACAAGTAAAAATTAATGAAATCGCTGAGTCACACCTCATAATTTTGTTTTGACTGGGAATCTCCATTCTCCTGTCATATGGCTTCAGTTTGTTCTTTGCCTTCTTGCTTCCTGATTATTGAGCGAAATCACACAAACAGAGCACCGTGGGACTGGTGAAGTGCTGACCTTGTGCAGCTTGATAGGTGCAGATTGATGCATCTTTGTTCTTCTGTTTCTTGTMGTGGTTTCACAACTTGTGCATTCCCACTTCACACTAATCTTTGTATTTCTGTGGCAGATCTCCACAGTGYGATGTTACCACCTACATCTTACAAGCCAGTGGGGAAATTGGGTTGCCTTCAGCTAGGATTTCTTTTACACACTTTCCCTCTCTCCCTGTTCATTTCTACTCCTCATGCATGCCACTTCCTATTCCCCGCTGCCTTTCTATTTCCTTCTTCATCCCTCCGGGCCAGATCACAGGCAATGCTGCTCYGGAGTTTACAGATCTCAGTGAGCAAGGCTCCGCTGTGTTAACCTAGCAAGCTGCTCTCATTAGCGGATGCTTGTAGCAGACCCGMAGCCTCCTTACAGGCAGCCCAGCTGTATCTTACGGTGGTACTCATAAATTAAGYGGTGTCACAGAATGTCCCCAGGCACTGGAACATACTCATCAGTCCTGTTAAATTGCTAGTACATTTCCTGACACATTTTTGGCCGGGGACAACTCTCCCTCTCCCGAGCAACTCCTAGGATGCATTCAGATGTTAGCATGGGCCAGGGACYTCTCCCATTAGGTGGCTGGCATGTGGCCAGTTCATTTTTGAGGTTAAGTGAGTTTAATAGCCCAGACCATCTCATGCCAGCTGGCCTCTGTGCCAGAAACAGTCCAGGCACATTTGATTTATTAGCACGTCTAGAAACAGARGAGCAGGGCTCCCTCCCAAGTGAACATTGATTTCCATTTCATTTTAACTTCCTCCTCTTATTAAACTGGTTTAATTTCCTTCTTGACTTATTTTAATGATCCCCGCCTCTCTGAGGGATATAAAAAGGAGAGCTGAGGTAGTGAGTGGGCTTGCTCCAGAGAATGAWGCCTGCAGGACCAAGTCGGGCCTGGAGAACTTCTTGAGAGCAGGGCTGGCAGCCCCTCGCTCCTTCCAGCACTGAACCCCAGCAGATCACGGCTGCAGAGACTTCTCCACAGGCTGGCACTGGCATGGCACAGGAGGAAACTTAAATTAAAAGAAAACCCAACAAATAAAAAAMTCAGCAACCACTCCTGATACAGAGCAGGCCATCTCCTTTTCTCAGTGTGTTTCCTTTGCCTCTTTCTTGCAGTGTGGTTTTGTTTTCTTCTCTCGCTCTTGCTTGTGGCTGTGTTTTTGATCTTGCAGCAGCTCGTTCTGCTGGGGTGGGGGGGCCCCCCAGCCCTCCCTCCACACCAGGGCTCCACACCTCAGCTTCCGCTGCGGCATTTCCCCTTGCGGTGCCTGCCGGGCGAGGGCTCAGGGATGCAGCTGCCTCTTGCCCTGCTCAAGGGTTAGGCTCAGCTGCRGGGCTCTGGGCTAAAAGGGGTTCACCTCTCTTCCTCTCAGTTTAAAAATCTAAAACAAATCTGACTTGGCTCTTTTACCAAATAGCGGTTTCTTTGAAATTACTTACTAACATTAAAGYAAACGTCAGATGAGCAGCAGGCAGGGTAAGAGAAGACCAAGTGCAACAAAAATAGCCAGCAGAGASCAAAGTGATGACAGCAGTGAAGATCATTTAATGGTCCCTACTGTTCCCCTGGACTGTCTGACCCTGCCTCCTTTTCCTTCTGAGCACCTCTGGCTGCTCATGCGAGAGCTGCTGGGAGTGGGGAGTGCTGGAGCAGGGTCCATGGGGTCACACAGCTGAAAGCAGCTGATCCTCCCTGAGAGACATCCCACCATCAGGACAAGGCAGGGTGGTGAGGCCACTGTGTCAACACCAGCTGAGTTGCCCTCCGCCAGAAAGTTCCCTYGGCCCAGCCATGTGCCTGGAACCATGTGGAGGCCACAAGAAGTGTCTCCATTTCCACAGCCTAGGCTAGTCCCTTCTGGCCTGAGGGAAAGCCAAGACTGCCTTTCTAAAGCCACCGGAGACTCTGACTAATCAAGGCACTGTGATGCACTCTGAAATCAGGTCCTCCATCACTCATCCAAGCCATGCTGGGGGTGACATTCAGATGTCAACCCTCCTTAATTTTGCTCTGGTGAATACAAGGTCCCCATGAGGCTGTGGCAGATCAGGTGGACAAGAACCGCTGGTGGGAATGAGGTGGACGCCCAGTTTTGATGAGCAGAGCCCTGCTGCACTGCAGGCAGCTTTGGCAGACATGTTTGTGCAACACGGGGAGGACAGGAAAAGTTGGGGAGACATCGTTGCAGCCTTTCAGTACTTAAAGGGTAAAAAAAGATGAAGAGTGACTTTTTACATGGATGGATTGTGACAGGAGAAAGAGGCATGGTTTGAAACTAAAAGAGGATAGGTTTAGATTGAATGCTAGGAAGAAATCCTTTACTCAGAGAGTGGTGAGGCACTGGAACAGGTTGTCCAAAGAAGCTGTGGCTGCTCCTGCCYTGAAGTGTTCAAGGCCAGGTTGGATGGGTCTTTCAGTGACCTGTTCTAGTGGAAGATGTCTCTGCCTGTGGCAGAACTTTAAGGTGCTCTTTAAAGGTCCCTTCCAAACCATTCTGTGATCCTATGATGCTAACCTGCACCAGAGATTGCTGAGTTGAGAAGAACACTGAGTAGTAACCTGAACTCAGCCTTAATCCACCCTGTGGAAGAATATCTGAGGTGGCTGATGGAGGCTGAGTAGGATATGCCACCTGAAAGGTGAAAAATTCAACTAGAAATGAAACTCCTGCTTTCAACAGCGCAGCAGCCCATGGAAGYGGAAGGCAAGTCTCTTTTCTGTTGTCTTCAGATTGAAAGGATCGCTCTTTTTCCAAGAAATCCTGCTCACTCAGCCCTGTGCTAATGGATCAGGCTGCATTGGCAGCTAGTGCCAGGCARTGAGCCAGTCAGCCTGGATTAGCAGAACAGACCCCTCCAGTCTCAGCACGTACAGATGTAAGTAGACATCCTTACTTAGCTAGAGACTGGCATCTTCTAAGTTTTCCAGGCTTTTTTTAGAATAAAGTCCCTTCCTGCAGGGTACATGGAGAAGGTGATAGCAAGTGGCAGCTGGTAGAGGGCTGCTCCCCAATGCATTTGCAGCCCTTGGGGATATACAGACACCAGTGACAGGCCCTCATATAGGACATATTGCCCTATATATGGATTTTAAAGATCCATGAGATCCTCAGGCTCTGAGGCAGGTTGAGCTTTTCAAAGCTTCCTTTTTTTACCTGCCCCTTTCAGGAAAGAATATAAGGAGACAGACAATTTTTAGTTAAAATTAAAAGGCCTCAGAGAATGGCACAGCCAGAAGTATTACCAAGCCAAAGGTTTAAGATGGTTTTACAACAGACCTTTAAGCAGGGAAAAAMCAGTCTATCTGTGCCGAAACAGCAACCTGAGTGGAGCAGTAAAGTTCGTAGCATTAAAAAACCCCAAAAACAGGCTCTTAACAAAAGAAAGAGTTTCCTTACCTCTTTTCTCTCTGCCTCTGTGTTTCTGTCTCCTTGTGTTTGTCAGCTGCTGTAATAGATCTCACCAAGCTACAGCTGAAACAAAAGAGGAACGAAGGAGTGTTCAGCAAGCAGATGTTTGGTTGGCCTTGATGTCCCCTCCTCTCCAGCCAAAGCCACAGCAAGGTCTTGCTGCCAGWCCACTTTCTAGTGACATCCGCCGCCTTTTCTCAGCAGATGGTGATTTTCCAAACGCACGTGATTTCGGCTCTGGGTGTGAACAGAAATGGACCATAGCGGAAGGCTATGTATGGCAGCAGTGGGGAGAATTAGTGTGCAAAACAGAGAGAGCCTATTGGCCATATGGCAGCTGCTGGAGGCCGTGACGGGGCTGAAACTTAGAAATGAATGGCTGGGAGCTGGTTCAGCTTTACTGAGGAAGAAAGCTCACAAACTAACAGGTTAGCTGAGCAGATCCCAGCCCAGCCTGCACCTCCCATGCTCTGTAAGGGTCATCTGAGCTTCATATCCAGGCTGTCTCCTGCACCACCACTAAGAGGAGGCACCTCTGAGGAGYTGACCCCAGGCCCACCTGCCTGTGGAGTAAATCTGAGATTTGGGGTGAGATGAGAGAATGTTTTCTTTATAGCAATGCTGGCTTTACTTTGGCTGTCTGCCAGCAACCCACCCAGCTGCCCACTCTCTCCCCCTCCTCAGCAAGCCAGGGGGAGAAGATAAAAACTCTCTCAGGTCAGGATAAGGACAGGGATMTCTCTCCCCAGCTACTGTCATGGGCAAAACAGCTTTGACTTGGGGAAAATATGGCCCATTAAAAACAGAGTAAGATAGTGATGAATCAAAACAGAACTGGAAAAGCTTCTTCCACTTCCCTTTTCTCCCCAGGCTCAATTTCACACATGGCTCAATTTCATACATGGCTCTTCTGTCCCTCCTTCCTCCCCCAAAGTGTCACAGGAGGACAGGACATGGGAGTTGTGGTCAGTTCGTAGCACTTCATCTCTGCTGCTCCTTCCTGTTTGTGCTGTTCCTCTGCTCCACCGTGGGGTCCTTCAAGAAATGCACTGATGTGTGTTTGTCCCACAGACTGCAGTTCTTCGTGTTCATCTTGACATTAGAAAAACATTTTTTACAGTGAAAACAATCATTCACCAGAACAACCACCCCAGGGATGTGGCAGAGTTGCCATTGCTGGAGGCTTTCAAGGTGTAATTGGGCAGGATGCTAGATAACTTCATCTAGGAACTCAATGTTGCTCCTCCACAGGCCACAGCTCCTGCCAGAAAACCTCCTCCAGTGCAGAGTCTCCATGGGCTGCAGGTGGATCTCTGCTCCAATGTGAACCTCCATGGGCTGCAGGRGTGCAGCTGCCTCACCATGGTCATTGCCGAGGGCTGCAGGRGAATCTCAGGTCCAGCACCTGGAGCACCTCTTGCCCCTTCTTCTCCCCTGATGTTGGTTGAGATCCAGGGCTGTTTCTCCATGTATTATTCCTTTCTCCCACAGCTGCTGTGCACATATTTTTACTCTTTGTTATTAAATACATTGTCACAAAGGTGCCACCAGAATCACTGATGAGCTCAGTCTTGATCTGAAGTGGGTCTATTTTGGGGTTGTCTGAACGTGGCTCTGACTGACATGGGGCCAGCTCCTTCTCACATCTCACAAAGCCACCAGCACAGCCCCTCTATTACCAAAACCTTGGTAATAATCTCTGCAAACCCAGCATAAGTAACCTATACCAACCTGTACTGCTACTGAATCTCAGCTGTTTCCCTTCTCTGTGGGGTGGAGGAGGGGGCTTCTGTGGTTTCCACCCACGTTTGGTCTCTTGCTCTCTCTGAATCCCAGCCTCAGCCAAGACAACGGAAACCCACTGAGCCCCAGACATGACTGAGATTTCATCTCTGCACCACCCACTCTCCTCCTCTTGGCAGTGACTTGCCCCTCTGTCTGGAGAATGGGGGTGTGAGAGGCTTTGGGGGGCACAGGGACAGTCAGCAACAGCAGCGAAGTTCACAATGTGCCACCAGCTGTGACAGGGACAGCGGTGATCAGGCTTTGAGCACAGGAGCTGGCCCATTGCTTGTGACTTTGGAGAAAGACGAAGATATCCCATTTCAGGGAAGAAGCCACCCACATGAGACAGGAACTTCTCAGTGTGGGATACAAGTTATGGRAGATGAGATGGGATGGAATAGGATGGCATGGGCGCTCTGCCAGTGTCCAGAACTTGTGGAAGCCCTTTTCTGAGGCACAGCTCTCCTGTGAGAACCTGACATACCACATCAGCATCTTCAAAATTCTTTCACATGAGTCAAATAGAAAAGTCCTCTCTGGTCCCCAGCTGCCAGAGAGGGGATGTCCTGAGGAAAAAAAAAAAAGAGTTTAGAGAATCAGGTTGGGACTGTAAGGCYGCGGCATCTCAGTGCTTGGGGATTGAGGGCATTGAGCTGATGCTTCAGTTCACATGGATTCTGGCTTGCATTTTGTCTCCTCAGCACGCTGTAATGCAGAAACACTGGCTTGTTTTTAAACAGTTTGTTTATGTCACTGCAAATATCTACCAGAAATAGCATTCCCTGAAGGGGTAAATCTTGCAAAATGCACTTGAACTCGCTGCAGAGATGCAAGGAGAAGCAGGGCGGTGGGTCTGAGGTGAAAAAACTGCAGGCTAGTCACCTTGTGAGAATGCCTGTTCTGGACCCACTCTCACCCTAGGGTGGGGATCCATCTCTTGGAGCTGCTGGAGTCGTGTGGTGAGCAGGTACCTCTGGGACCAAGGGTCACACTGTGCSGTGACGTGTTTGTATCACTTTCATCCAAGCATCTCAAAGCACTTTGCAAGCATTAATTAAACATCAGAATCCAGAAGGGATGAATAATATTAGCCAGTCAGTCTCTCTTCTGAATGTAATATTCCTCATAAATATTTAACTGGTTTTTAAGTTCTTTGCAAGTCTGGTTCTCACCTCACTGGGACAGTTGCTGTACTGCACCCCTGGGGAAAGGGGGCTCATCCAGCATCACACACTGACCCCGCAGCACAGCGAGAACAACCCGAGCACTACAGAAAGTTCTCCCCCCCGCACAAATCAGAGGCTGTCATGTTTCCCTGCTTCATCCCCTGCAGAGACAGTCCGTGCTGTCTCTCTTTGCATCTAATCCCATCACTAGCAATATTTTTGCAAGCTGGGGCTGGAGAGAAACAGATCCTCTCAGCGGAGAGAAGCAGCTTCCAGGCTGTGCTGGGTGACGGTCACAGTGTGCAGAGACACTAAGTCTCTCCAAGGAAGTGAGATAAAGGGAGAAAAGCATCTCAGAAATCAGATGTTGCTTCACTGGAAAGCCAAGGTGCCTCCAAAGGTGGTCTCCTTAAAACCAAGTTCCCTGCATATCAGTGGGGGCTATGAAYGTGCCTGTGAACTCTGATGGGTGAACAATACCCAGATAGGCTGTTAAATTAGTGATTGCTCGTGGTATTGGAGAGAAGGAAGAACAAGTGTTTGACACAGCATAAAAACAGAYCTTCAGGCGCCCCACTGCCAGCGGCTTCAAAGGCCAGGAGCGTTCTCTTTGCAACAGAATAGCTGACACCTGGTGAGCTTCTCAAACAACAGGCTGGCTGRTGAGGGGGCCTGGTGAATTATCCCAGCACAGCTATGTTCCTCAGAAAGCAGGAAGGCTGGGSAGGGAGACCTCTCTGCAGGCACTTRGAAGCCYGAATTGGGAAGAAAGGGTTCTCCAAGCAGAAATATAAATGTTCATTTTTTGGTCACATTGGAAAATCAGGAATCCTCCAGAGACATTCTTCATGAGCAAGGGCTCCCCTATATTTAGGCAGGAGGTGTGGAGTCTGATGGAGCAAGACTAGCCAGGCRTGCTGGGAAATCAGGGACTGCCTGGAGCACAATGGACAGAGGAATCAAGAGTCACTACCTGCAGAAGTGYGTCACCCAAAGTGGCAGGGGCTAAAGCCAGCCTAACAAAAACCAATCACCKTAAGGATGTGTAAGAAATGCAACAGGTAGGAGAGAGTTGTCTGGGGGACTTTTTAGGGACCTATATGGGGTGCACGTTCCTTACTATCTCACCATAAATTACCTTAGCAAGGGGAAGGGAAGGACAAGCTGGTGACAATACTTGTTTCGATGCACAGCCGGAGGTGTTTCATCGGCACGGAGGGTCTGGAATATCGCACAGGCAGCGCTTGGCGGGATGCAATACAAGGCACAGAGCTGAAAGCGAAGGGAGAGAAGGAGCCCGGTGTCACCGGGGAGCGGAGCCTCCCTCGGCAGCGCTCAGCAGCACGGCGGATCCGCCCGGCAGCGGGCGCGGGGTGCGGGGGAATGCCACCGAAAAGGGCACTAGATGGCGGCATTGGCTCGGGACAAGGGGCTGCAGGGACCGCCGGGGTGCCCCTCAAAGCTCTGCCGGCCGGGAGAGTTCAGGGAATCACAGAGAGGTTTGACTCGGAAGGAACCTTAAAGATCRTGCAGTCCAACCCCCTGCCTYGGGCAGGGACACTTTCCAGTGGATCAGGATCCAACCTGGCCTTGAACACTGCCAGCAATGGGGCATCCACAACTCCTCTGGGCAACCTGTGCCAGTGCCTCACCACCCTCACAGTAAAGAGTTTCTTCCTAGTATCTAATTTAGGATTTTGAAGGCCTGGGAAGTGCCTGAGTGGAGGGTTCTAACTGAGCTACTGATAGCCCCCGAAGTTTGTTGGGGGGTTTGCTGGTGTGTCCTTCTTGGTCTAATACTTGTGTTGTTTTCCATGCAAAAAAGGGGAATGGTGACCTGGTGACAAGAGAGGGTAGACTCACAGTGCTTGTAAAAGAAGAGGAACATGAGAAACTTCAGTAAGAATGAGAATTATGAAATCCTGGCAAAAGCTGCCCTTGTGTGTGACCCCCTGTGTTCCTGGGCACCGGGATTGTCCTAAGTCTTACCATGAGACCCTCTGAAACCCATCCGCTCAGAAGGCAACAAGAGCCTTTCAGAGCACACCATATGGCAGCTCCTGGRGGGAGTCACACTGAACTGGCAGGCCAGTGGGATGGAAACCTAGGAGAGAAACTCTAGAGCATGATGGAATCCACAGCTATGAAAAGACTGTCCCAGACGCTTTGGAACTTAGTGGGTGGCACAAGATGCACTACCCACAACAACAGCATTCCTGTAAGGAGCTTGGTTTGATGGTTTTGCCT